TTAAATGGGCTCCCACCTCCCACATCATCCCCAGGGCTGGGCTGTGAGAGGGAGACGCCCCTGAGAGCCGACCCCCTTCCTGAGGGCAGAGCCTGCGGCTGGGACCCCTGAGTGTCCTCTCACCTGTCACCACCAGCTCCAGGGGGTCACTGCGCTCTGACCGGCCTTCAGGGCTGAGATAGTAACAGCGAAATCTCCCTGCATGGTGCTCTGTCGTGTATGGGATCGAGAATCTGGCCTTGTTCTTGGGCTCCAGTGGTTTCTGTGTGTCCCATGGGTCTGGGATTCCCTCTTTATCCAGACGGTACTCCTGGGCCTCCAGGTTCCCCCGACACCAAATGGTCACGGGGCTCCCCCGGATGATCACAGAGTCTGGCTCAGCCCAGAGGGTGGGTTTGGGGTGGGGCCCTGGAAGGAAATCAGAGGCTGCATCCCAAGACATCCCCACACTCAGATCCCAGCTCCCAGCCCCAGGACCCCCTGTCATCGCCATCAGTCACCCAGAACTGCAGTCTCCTCCCCCAGCTGCCCATGTGTGGCCCCTGTCCCTAGTGAGGAGGAGGGACCTGGGACAGCTGGGGACACACTCACCTGCCTGCACGTGGGTCCTGGTGTCCAGACTCAGCCCTGGAAGAGAGTTCCCGGTGAGGGATTTGCCCCTGAAGCCTGAGCAGACCCTCCCCACCCTGGTGCCTCCTGAGTTTTTGAGGACTCCTGATGAACCAGGGCTTATGTGTGGGGTGGGGTCCCTCCAAGACTCGGATCTCCCCCTCCCCATCTGGAAATCTCACCGAGGCAGAGCAGGGCTGTGAGGGCGGGGGTCATGGCATCTCCTCCCAGTGGCCCCGGGCTCTGCAGATGGATGAACCCTCGGTGCTGGCAGGACAGAGACACACACAGGGTGTGGCCACTCGGAGGCTGGGTCCTTCTTGTTATGGGGTTGTCTCATCCTCAGCCCACAGGAAGGGGAACCGCCCTCCCCGGGAGCCTGGCTCTCATTTCCCCAGGGCTGAGGTGGGGGCGGGCACCAGGCCCTCTGCAGACATTTCAGAGAGAAATGGGGTCTCCCTGTCCCTGGGTCACTGTCTGCCTGATTTATCTTTATCTCACTGAGGGCCGGGACACAGCAGCAAATAGACCCGGTGACTTCCTCAGTCAGCCCCTTTCAGGCGAGGGAGACCGTGGGCTCCTCTTCCCTCTCAGAGCCTCCCCATGGGGTCTCCCTCCCTCCTTCAGCCCGTCCATCGGCTCAGCGTCGCGGGGTCCTTACCATGGGAGTCGTCTCTCCAGCCCTGGAGATGCTTCAGGGAAGATGCAGGTCCACGCTGCAGGCAGACCCAGGTCCGCAGAGACGCACCTGACACCGGGCTGTGCAGCCCAGGCTGAGCTGTGAGTGGCAGTGAGAACACAGGAGAAATGCAGGGTCCACCGTGGTGGCTCACGCCTGGAATCCCAGCACTTCAGGAGGCTGAGGCGGGTGATGGCTTGAGGCCGGGAGCTTCAGACAGTCCTGGGCAACATACTGCAACCCTGTCTCTACAGAAAAGAAAAAAGTGAGTTGGGCATGGAGGCTCATGCCTGTGGTCCCAGCTACTCAGGAGGCTGAGGTGGGAGGATCACTCCAGCCCGGGAGGCGGAGGCTGCAGGGAGCTGTGATCACCCCTCGGCATTCCAGCCTGGGCGACACAGCAAGATCCTGTCTGAAAAGGAGAAATGCAGGGAATATAGAGAATAAAACATATCTATATATAAAAAATATATATACACATATATATACTATATGTACTATATATATAGCATATATAATTATATATAGTGTATATATTATATATATACACACACAGTCCTTGGAGTGTATGTTTCCTTCTTACCAAACAGCCCCTCTCTTGTACTTCCCCTTTTTCCCTTGTTGCAGCATCACCCACCCCCCTGGGAATGAGGCTCTGAGTCGGTCCTGCCTCCTCAGTGCCCCTTGTGTCCTTGGCCGTCCTTCGGCGCCTCCATCCATGTTCAGGATTTTCAGAACAGTTTGTTAGGTCTGTAATCTGCTTCCGGGGGAGGGGAGCTGATTTGTGTTTAATTCCTGATTATCATCCAGGGTTTATGTGACCTTGGACATTAATGTCACCTCTGAGCCTGTTGTCATGAACCCCACTCATCACAGTGGCTGTGGGGTCAGTGGTGCCCAGGACAGGGGAGGCTCAGCTGTGGTGAATTTTCAGACCAGTTCAGACCGGAGGGTGGGACGGGAGAGGATCCTGGTCCAGACCAGTTCAGACCGGAGGGTGGGACGGGAGAGGATCCCGGTGTCCGGTTCCATAGTCGAGGAGGATGATTGACGCCTCCACTCAAGAGCCGACATCGGCTCCAAATACCAAGAAATGCTCCTTGTGACACGTCTGAAATATGCAGATCACCACAGCCACAGGCACAGAAAGAGAAAGAAAAGTTCCCAACATTGAGATGCGTCCCCTGCAATGAACAGAGTTCAAAGCTGAGTGGCCACAGGTGTCTGGGACCACCCAGGGTCATTAGGGAGGAGGTTCCCACCTCCGTGTGGGACAGAAGAGGAACCCCAGGTCCTCCCAGGCAGGGAGGGGTCAGGGCTCTGGGTGGGGCTGGAAGCTGTGGCTCCCCCTCCCCTGTGTGTGTGGACAGGCGCTGGGGGGTCTCTGCTCACTCACTGAAGTCCATGCTCAGCTCTCAGCCCCTCCCCTGTGTGTGAGAAACAGATTCAGTCCACGGTGCTCAGACATGGGCGTCTGCCCCACAGGTGAGTGTGAGGCTGGCGTTGGTCCCATCCCTGCCGGGCACAGTCTTGAGCTGACGCTAAGTTTGGGAGAGTGGGGCAGGAGCAGCGGCATCGATTCCCTTCATCAGGCTGATGCCTGGACAGCTGTGGGAGAAACCCTTTGTGAAAGGCCAGGTGCGTGGGAGGAGAGCCGCCCCAAAGGAATGACAATCATATGAGGAAAATATAGGCAGCTGGTGAAATGCATTAGACAGACATTGTGAAGCTGAAAAATAGCAAATTGAATTAATACCATTGAAAAGTAATTTAATAAATATATACACCTACTATGTAGTCATAAAGTGAAAAATCTGACCAGGCGTGGTAGCTCATGCCTGTAATCCCAGCACTTTGGGAGGCCAAGGTGGGTGGATCACCTGAGGTCAGGAGTTTGAGACCAGCCTGGCCAACATGGTGAAACCCCATCTCTACTAAAAATACAAAAATTAGCCAGGCATGGTAGCACACACCTGTAATCCCAGCTACTCGGGAGGCTGAGGCAGGCGAATCGCTGGAACCCAGGAGGCGGAGGTTGTGGTGAGCTGAGATGGTGCCACTGCATTCCAGCCTGGGCCACACAACAAGACTCTGTTTCAAAAAAATAAAAATGAAATAGAAAAAGCAAACACCTTCTAAAGCGATTCAAGCCCTAGAAGGGTTCAAATGAAAATGAGACCAAAGGAAGTAAATAAAAAGGAGGAGGGGATTTGTGAGAACACATTTTAAATGGTCCATTTTCAAGGCATGGACCTTCTCAGCACTGGCAGCCAGTCTGCGGATTTAACCGCAGGGCTCACGCTCCCAGCAAATCACAGTAAATGAACACAATGTAGAGCGGGGGTCAGCCCATAAAAGGGAAAAAAGTTTCGTTACTGGGAAATTACAAGTTAAGCGGGGAAGGGGATGAGGTGTATAACCTTATAAGGGGGATAATGAAACTCAGGGGAAGTCTGGGAAGTTTGTAACGTCATAATACTGGACCAGTGAGGAAGTAGGGGAGGGACTTGCGTGCTAGGAGATAAATTACCTGCTGTGACTGCCCCAGGTGTGCCTGCCTAGCAGATGCCCAATCTCGCAAGACCCTATTAAAAGTCTCACTTCCAGGCCAGGCGCGGTGGTTCCACCTGTAATCCCAGCACTTTGGGAGGCCGAGACGGGCGGATCACGAGGTCAGGAGATCGAGACCATCCTGGCTAACACGGTGAAACCCCTTCTCTACTAAAAAAATACAAAAAACTAGCCGGGCAAGGTGGCGGGCGCCTGTAGTCCCACCTACTCGGGAGGCTGAGGCAGGAGAATGGTGTAAACCCGGGAGGCGGAGCTTGCAGTGAGCCGAGATCCGGCCGCTGCACTCCAGCCTGGACTACAGAGCGAGACTCTGTCTCAAAAAAAAAAAAAAAAAAGTCTCGCTTTTGCTGTTGCCTGTGCCTCTGAGTGCATTCTTTGGGTTTTCAGGGGTGAGTGTGTTTCTCACACTGACTGTCCAACTCCACTCCGTCCTGGGCTGTGGGTCCTTCACGGCAGTGTCTGTTCCCCTGAGCCCCAGCCCCTTCCCAGCCCCTTCCTGTTACCACTGAAACTGCAGGGCCCCCATCTGCACCCCAGGTGCACCCCCTCTTCCTCTCACTGAGGTTTTCTTCCTGGGTGTCAGCAGCTGGGCTGGACCTGGGGGAGGACAGAGAGTGTGGTGGGGGGGGAGTGTGGGAGTCTGGGGTCTTTGGGCAGAATTACCTCCTCTGAAGGCCTCTGTCTCTGGGCTCTGGCTCCACAGCCCCTGCAGGGTGTTGGAAATCAGCCTCTCTCTGGGCTGGGTGAAGAAGGACAGAGCCTCAGCCCTGGGAACCTTAGAACCACGCACCCTGTACATGCGACTTTAGGGGAAAGAAGGAGACTTGAAAACACACTCATATATGTGTGTGTATATATATACACACACATACACACACACACACACACACACACACACACATATATATATATATTTTTTTTTTTTTGAGACAAAGTCTCGCTCTGCCGCCCAGGCTGCACTGTCAGCTTCTCAGCCTCTGAGGTTTTCGGATTTGGAAGGGCTTCCTCGCTCCTCAGCTTGCAGACGGTCTATTGTGACACCTCACCTTGTGATCGTGTGAATCAATACTCCTTAATCAACTCCCCTTTATACATACACCTATCCCATTAGTTCTGCCCCTCTAGAGAACCCCGACTAATACATAATGTTTCTGAAATATGCAGCCCTAGAAGGAAATGAGAAATGAAACTTCCTGACACCGGCAGGGAACCTCAGGAAGCAGCGAGCTCAGAGCCGAGTGGCTGCTGGTGACTTGCAATGTCAGGGAGTCACTAAGGGGCACGTTTCTACTTCTGTATGAGACAGAGGAGAACCCCAGGGCCCTCACAGTCAGGGAGGGGTCGGGGTTTTGGGTGAAAGTGGGACGTTGTGGCTCTTCCTCCCTTGTGTTTGTGGATAGCACTGGGATATCTCTGCCCATTGACTGAGGTTCGTGGTCAGCCCTGAGCTGCCTCCTCCATGTGTGTGTGAAACAGATTCACTGTAGAGTTGTCAGACATGAGGTTCACACTGGACCCTCCCCTGCTGGTTACAGCCCTGAGCAGACTCTCGAGACCCGGGCAGGTGGTGCCTTCCTCCCCTTTTCAAGCCTAACTCCCAGTACAGCCCTGGTAGAAACCCTCTCTGACAGGTGAGATGCTGGGAGGTGTGTGTCCAAAAATGAGAAGAAAGAGGAATCATCCTAATGATAACAAGTGCTATGATTGGCTGCCTGCCATGGCTCATGCCTATTTTCCCAGCACTCTGGGAGGCCGAGGTAGACAGATCGCTGGAGCCCAGGAGTTTGAGACCAGCTGGGCAACATGGTGAAACTCCATGCATACTAAAAAGACGAAAAATAACTGGGTGTGGTGGTGCATACCTGTAGTTCCAGGTACTCCCACGATGGGAAGGCCTGCTCAGGCTTCCAGGGGGACAAATCTCTTACAGGGAACTCTCTTTCAGGGCTGAGTCGGGGCCCCAGGA